AAAATACTTAATTCCTCTCTCTTATACTGCGTTCATATGATCATGAGGCTTTACTTAAAAAATGTAAAACCAATGTTGGGAAAAGAGCTATGTTTTGCTCTCTTAAACAACGAGAACCACAAACCCTAAATTTGAATTATTCTGATTACTAACTAATTTGAACTATCACTAACATCACTATACCCATAACATGAATTAAAAAGATTGTTAGTAATAACACAACTCTCTTTTACCTTAGCTAGCTAAATTATACATAGGGTTTAAATTTGTCTCTTCACTAAAAAAAATAGCTAGTCACAAAATTTCTTGAAAATTTTAGAGTTCTTTTTTCAATAACAACTTTTCTATTGTTTTCTTTGACCTAGTGTAGTGATGACAAACCTTGTACTTCAACTTGGCATTTTTTGTATGTCAGTTTGTGAGATTGTGTTTTTATCTATGTGAAATTGTACAATTTTTTGAGGTTTTATGTTGAAATGTTTATTCCATCCAATGAATGAACACTTTATTGATGTTTAGTTGCATGAATCATCATCAAATATTATCATCAAATATCATATCTTCAATGAAAAGAAGATATATATTTCATGCTGAGCTTAAACATAAATTTTAAAAATCAAAAGATACTTTTGCAAATAAATACAGAATGATAACATTACAATAATTATATATATATATAAAAAGTAAATTTTTTTATCTAATCATATGATAGGTTTTAATATAATAAATATTTCATTAAATCAAGTATTTATTAATTTTTGCTACATTCAATACATGTGATTACTAATTTTTTTATTTTTTTATTTGATAACACATTCAATCAACTATTTTTGCCAAAAAATAATTTTTTTTTTATTCTTATTGATACGTCATATTGTATCTCTAGTAAAGTTTACTTGTTTTTAGGATTGAATCTTTAATCAGTTTAATAGTTATTTGACATAATTATTTTGGCCTTATCTTTAAAAACAAATAAAAGCTCACAATAAATCTTTTACGATGTTATGTGAACAAAACATGAGCTACTACAGTGGAATTAGTTAGCAATAGTTAATCACAAGAATCTCAAAGTTGAATGTGCATTTTGTTTTTGTCAAAATTTGAGCCAAGTTTGATAAAATTGTTCATTAGAGTTAAGATTGGAAAAAATTAGAATTATATTTACTTGAGAAGTTGAAGTTTTTATTTTTGTCAATATTAGTTTCAAGCTTAATGATAGTTAAATGATGCAAGTAAGTAGTAGTCTTGAAAATCATTGACCATATACTTTGCTTATGGAGCTATATTGGTAAAGAAACGCTACAATAAAATTGCAACTTTATCATTTAATATGCTCAACATTTTAAATGTTTATTGAAAATAATGCATCTAAAAGTATGAAAGAATAAAAAATTTCTTTATTAAAATTATTGTAATTAATCAAATTAAATTGGATTTCACATTTGTGATCATTTTGACATCACTAAATGAATTGAGGTTATCTAAGAATGACAACTCACTTGATTTGATCTATTCATGTGGTGTTTTGTTTTTTTACTTGCAATTATAGTGATAATGACAAAACGCAAAGGATAAAAAAAATTCGATGGTGTTTTGTAAATAGAAGTTATTTTTTAATCTTGTTTTTTGTTTTTTGAGATATGTTAATGAAGCAATGAAGTGTTTTTTTTGCTAAAATTGGAAGAGATTATGAACGCAATTTATGAATTTAGGATGGATACTTTCTCATGTCTACCTCAAGTTGATATACAAATTTGTAGTTGAGAATTTTTTTTTAAATTATAATTTGATTAAATATTAATTTTTTATTTCAAATACTATTATTTTTTGACTAGTTGAACAACTTCAAAAAAATTGTTATAATAAGAAAAAAACATTCGTTTGCATAAACAATGGAGGAGATGAAGTCTAAAATCTAGCAAAACAAGATGATTATTATGAAGTTTAGAGAAGCTAGATTTAATGTAAGCAACTATGATGGTAGTGATGATGATTTAATCTAACAGATTTAAAAAAAATGCAAACTAATGATTATGAATTTAAACAATATATTAAAACGTAAAGCTTCCATCTTCAAGGATAATAATTCAAAATATTTTCAACAATATGTGATGAATATTATTATACTACATATGTCATCTTCAATTTTGTAACGGTTGATTGAACATGACAATTATAATTTATTGTTTGATACGTTTAAGCATCAATTTTTTTGCAAAGCGGTGCAATACTACTTGTATGTTCTTTAAGCTAATAAGTTTCAAGTTATAAGATTACAGATCAAAGATTACATTGATAGCTTTTGTGATATTGTGATTGATACTTAGAATTTCAACCAAGATCAAAGAAAAATCTTCCATATTTTAAATTTATTATTTGATTTTTATAAGTATTTTTCTCATGTATTACTCTAGTGTGATTGAAATAAAATCGTTTACAACAAAATTTTAATTATTTGTCAAAATATGATTTCAAGCCAAACATAATAATGCCAGATTTTTTATCATCAGAATCTGATAAGACAGTAAATGTGACTTGTATACGATTGCATTAAAAAAAAACTAAGTGCTATGATGAGAATAGGTGATAAGACTATGTTCAAAGTATAAAATCATAGAAAATCTACACATGTTAGATGACAATAGTATGTTTGATGTAGTCAATTTTACTAAATTTGAAGCTGAGATAACTCATGTATAACAATCTAGAGTATAATATATGAATAATAAATATTTGACAGTACTTGGCAATAAATATTCTTAACTTACATTAGTCTAGTAAAAAGATGATTATTAATCATCACAAAATTTTCTTTTTGAAAACATAGTGTTATGGCTAAGTATCATATGATGATATTTGACATTCAAATTCAAAATTTCAAAAAACTACTTGAATATGTTCATAATGTAATACATTTACACAAACAAAGTATAAATTACAATATATTGTTTAAATTTGTAGCAAGAATGTTAGAATCAGATTGATGCATGCGATTGCTTTGATATTTAATCTGCATAAGATAGATTTAGTTTCAACATTTTAAAGTATTTTTTTGAGTAAAAAATCTACATAAAATAACCAATTGATTTTGAAAAAAAATCAACTGAAATTAATTTTCTAGATTATTTTAATCATGATATGGATTAAAAATATCTCATAGCTAATGTATCACAAGGTTTAATGTGTTAAGGAAAGCATAAATATATTCAAAAAAGGTGTATGTGTGATACTTATGCATTTATATACACATACATGTAATATATAAAATGATATGAAGTATGTAATTCAAGAAGTAGTTTAAGCTAGTCAAGATTGACTGTAAACTCAATACAACTAATGGCAAACCAACGTTATTTCTTATAAAACGTTTGTGCTATTTTGCATCGAAATCACAAGTAGAATTCACTAGTTTTGTTTTTTCTTCTATACATTTTAACTCCATTTTTTTTTTCACAAGTACTTAGTTTTAGTTGGCTCTAGTCTATAGAGCAACATATGTTAGTTTACTATTTTGAATTCTTTGTAGAGCATATGTATAGATTTTAGTGATTGCAAAAAAAATTTGAATTAAAAGTAAGATCATGAAGAGTTAATTTAGATATTGATTCAGCCTTTATTAGCTTTATTTTAATTAGTTGAGATCGTAAGTTTGTCACTCTACAAGTTGACATCAAAGCTCTCAATGATATCTTTAAATTATTTTGTGACTAATGAGCTATTGTGAATGAAGTAACTTCAATGATAAATCACATTTGTTTATATCACAATGTATATATTATAATGAAAATCATAGGATTAATGATATATCAAATTAATATTTTTATTATAATCAAATATTGTAAAGTAAATGAAGTGAGCCAAAATCATAAAAAAATATATACTAAATATACATATCTATCAAACTTTTGTTTGGAACTTCATTCAAAGTAAAGAAAAATACAATGAAAAAATTACGTGTTTGTTAATCTAATATAGATTAACAGATGCGTAGTTCTAGTCATGAGTTGAGTGTCTTTTGTTTTCATTAACTGATTTTTTCAAAGTAATGAGGTTGAAAATCAGAAGAATTTTCTTCATGTTTATTTGTTGTTCCATAGTTACCAAGGATTCATTTTAACATGTTACATACTATATAGTGTGTCACTTACTGGTGATATAATTGATTTCTTCACATCATTTATAATGTATGGGAACAAATTTTTAACCAACAAAATATGAAGAAACCATCAAGTCCAACAATGATGAAACTAAATAGCTAACGAGTGTCTAGCACCCTTAGTATTACAAAGTAAATATGGATTAAATCAACACACATAAAGTAACTGCATCAGACAATGCTATCTAGATGGATTTTATAGTAGTATATTTTCAGATACCATACGTAGCAACGTATATTGACCACTTGGTTGCTATTGGAAATTATACCTTTGCTACGCGTTCAGTTTCCTCCTTGACATTCCAGTCCGTTTTTGGTATCTTGCTTGCTGCACCCTCGAGCATCTATTGATTGAATATGGAGGAGATGTGCCAAACAGCCCCTTGGTCTACACTCATTACATTTCTTTATCATTTGCTTCTCCTCCACTCTCCGTATTTAGACTCGCTTGTTTATTTTGACAAAGCATGTTCCTCCGCCATGAAGCAATCTAATTAAACAATGAAAGTGCAGATAAGCCTCGGGCGCTACACGCCAGAAGTAGGTCCCCAGCGCAGTGCACCTGCTCCGCCAGCTCTTCCACCTCTAAACTTAGCGGTTCGGAGGTCGATGAAAATAGCGGATGGCGAGAGAATCATTGGGCAGAAAGAGAGGACGGAACGAGTGAGAGGAGTTCAGTCAGGGTGGACTCCGATGCAGGAAGAAGCGGGGGGGCGAGATGCGGCACATTTCGGTGGACAGAGAGCCCAACGCAAGGCTGCCGGACGAGCGATCGACCAGGACGGCACCCCGGAACTGGAGGGGATATGGAGGACGGTTGCCCTAATAGGGAGGGGAAGTAGAGGAGGAAGCAGCAGCAAACGCGGGAGGAGGTGGAGGTGGAGACGGACGAAGCCAGAGGAGAGGAAGGCGGGGAGAGGAGAAGCGTGTGTGCGGGGAGTGAGAGCTCGAGAGGGAGTGGGTCAGGGCAAAGGGAGTGTGCAAGAAGGAGACGCAGGAGGGCGGAGATGAGAGGTGTTCTCGGCGAGTGTCCTGTCATGGATGCTCGTTCTCGCCATTTTGTTTCTCCCTGGAGCCGCAGCAGAGTCTGAAGGCGAAGGAGCAGAGAGTGCGCGGGCTTGCTGGTCGGGCTGGTCGTGTCCGTGCAGGAGGCTCGTAAGCCCTGGTGGTCGTCTTCTTGGATCTCACGATTATCTACTGTTTAGAGCAAGTAGTGCGCGAGTTGAAACCGCCCCGGACGATTTTTTTCTTTGAAGGACGGAAGCCGCGGTGTCTTTTCTGGGTGGGCTGGTCCGGATCTTATTAGGATGGTGTTGTGATGAGTGAAATAGAGTCTTGTTGCACGAGGCTCACGGGCAGGCAGGGGGCGGAGGCCGTGATTTGTTTGTGGTTGTGATGGTGGTGGAAGGCCTGTGAGTTTTGAGAAGTGGTGTTTGTACATCTGTGGTCGTGTGGGATTGATTTGGCGGAGGGTGGGAGAGGTGAGAAGTTCCAAGTGCGTCGGAGTAGGAAGAGTTGCCGACGTTTGGATTGAGGTCAACGAGAGCTAGTCGAGGGTTTGCATTTGATGAACACGTAGGTGAGGTGGGAGAGATTTTGCCTGCCATGAATGGATGTGCAACCGAGACTGGAAGATGGAGTTGTTGTAATTGGAGTAAGTCTCCGGCTCAACTCTTTATCCCGACGTTTAAGTGAGGAGTATATTTACCTATTCGTTTATTTATTTTCCACTTGGGAGATCGCTCATTTTCATACGTTGTGTTGTAAAGATCTTACGGGGATCTAAACTTAGATAGTCGAAACGTCTACATATCCATCTGATTTGAGCTCTAGTTTGCTCCGCCAAAATTCGTCTTAGACTCCACCATCGCACGTAGTCATGGCCGATCCGCAACAGCAAACGCCTCAGATTGAATATGGAGGGCAGCCCGGGTCTACGGAGGACGCCTCACGAGAGGCTAGAGGAGGGCAAGACAATCAGGAACAAACACAGGGTGCCGGTGAAACAATCAGTGCTGGACATTGGTGTCATCAATGTCAAAAGGAGGTAATTGCAGAGGCTGAGGTGGACGGTGGGACGGATAGCATGGTGTGTTCTGAGTGCCGAAGCGGATTCATTGAGGCCCTGGCCACTGCCCAGACTTTGCCGGATGTTAGACGTGCACAACGGAGGCGACGCCGACGAGCCACTGCTACTGCTGCTATCATAGCAGGTGCTAGTCCTGGTGGAGCTACTGCACGTCAGATGGTTCCTCTATCTGAAGCCTTGGAGCATTTGTACCCTCAGCAGCTGTTGCAAGTGCTACAGCTGTTAGGGCAAGCTACGAATAGATCTAATAATGCTCCACCCGCGTCGCTGGATGAAGAGGTACGAGGAGTGTTACCCTGCACTGAGCGTCAGTCGTGAAGTATCAGCTCTGATCTTGCATCATCTTCAGACACTTAGGTCATGTGTAGGTCACTTGGCGTCGTTGTCTACCGCTTGTACAGTTTCCTTGTGTCACCCTCAAGTAGACTGCGAAGAAGTTAAAATATGTAGACTTGTCTTTTGATTAGACTGTTAGTATGTAAAGGTCGATGAGCAGTTGCTCCACTGGCTTTGGATCTATTGGCCTTCCCTTCTTTCTTTACGGGAAGGGAGTTTTAGTCCTTCGAGATGCCTCTTCGTTAAGCGAAATAGCAAGTAGTATCACGAATTGATCGGTTACCTCTGTCACTTGTGCAACCGTGGGCATATGTTTGAATCCTTCTTCTCTCAACTTGTCGCTACTGTATCGTCCTGGTTAATTAGAGATTATTATGTTCGCATGATCCTCAAAGTACAATCTATCGTCAAAGTATATATTTGTTAATCTTTTGTTTTTCGCTCACTGCAGAATCACACGACCGTTCAAGCTCACGAGCTTGTGGAGGGTCAAACGCCAGCTGTACCTGAAGACGGAGAATTACCAAACCTAAGTGGTTTTTTATCTTCGATTCATACATCTAGGGAGGAGGCAGGTGGAGGGCAAGAAGGTAGAACTGAGACACCCACCGATGGTGAGGAGTTAGGTACATTACCAGCAGCCGCGCAACTCGCCTTGGACAGGATTACTCAAGATGGGCATCTAATGTTCATCCGAGACACATCTCCAAGTCACGATGACGATGATGCAGATGAGGAACTTGTCGTCAGTGACACGGAGACCGAAGAAGGCATGGTTTTTGACGCGTGGGATTCTGCAGAGGAGGATGACGATGAAGAGTGGGAGGAGGTTGATGAAGATGAGGAGCCAGTGGAAACAGGAGTGGAGGATGGTGCTGGTGAGGACAACGAGGCTGAGTCGCAGGAAGGAGAACAGCCGTTGGAGCAGAATGGGGAAGGGAGACAACCTAGGGTGAGAGAATTTCGTCTTAGGACAAGGAATATGGAGCATAATCTCCATCAGTACTTGCAGGAGCTTTTACAGACCTTGGTAGGACAAAATATCGAGGTACGAGTGGAGCTTCCTGACGGGCCTCTTTATGTTGGCAATCCTGGCGATTATGTCGATGCTAGGGGTTTTGAGATGCTTTTGCAACAGATGGCTGAAAACGACAACTCCCGAAGAGGTGCCCCACCAGCTTCGAAAACAGCCGTTGAGTGTTTGCCGTCCATATCGATTGAGCAAGCACACGTGGATGATGGATCAGCCGTGTGTGCTATCTGTAAAGACGTTGTGGCCCTAGGAGAACCCGCTAAACAATTACCTTGTCTACATCTCTACCACAACGACTGCATCTTGCCTTGGCTCAGCTCGCGCAACTCGTGCCCAGTCTGCCGATATGAACTACCAACTGATGATCCTGATTACGAAGAGCAGAAGCAAAGCAGACGTGGAACCGTCCAAAACAATAGCGCGTCCCAGAGTCCGAGTTCACTGACACAAGTTGCAGAGGATGGGCTTCAAGGCAATAACAGTGGTGGAGATCAGGTCTCAGATTCTTCGAGTCATCAGTCGAACGTAAGGGAGACAACTATTGACGCTGTAGAGCCGATTGGAACCTCAAACCCTCGAAATGGAGTCGAACAGGTGGCATCTGGTGAGGGAGAACGAGGTCACGAGGAGAGCGCACCGGAGTTATCTTTCTCGCAAGGTTCAGATACTATCAACACTAATACCCCACTGAGCAGGGATGAGGTTGGAGAGAGAGAGAGAGGAGAGAATGAGAGTGATGAGGTAGACAGAGGAGAGACAATGCGGGGTACTGGAAGAGGCTGGTTTTTACTGGCAGCGGGGCCAGTGCTTAGCATGATGGGCCTTGTGTTGGTATTGTGCATAGGGAATCACCTCATTGGGGGCCGCATGCAACACTTGGGAAGACCGTTGCACAGGCAACAACACCACTTCTTTCAGGAGCCACATATAGAGCAAATAGGGGGGGGCAGTGAGGTGCAGGGTCGCAGGCGATGGTGGATGCCCTTTCAACGTTGATGGTTCTGTGAGTTACTATGCTTTGTGGTCGTTTTAGTTTGGTCACTGAGCAGACGTTGTTGGGGTGCTGAATCTCACCTGTATCTGGCATCGCTTTTCCTGCAAAGTGCTTAATCTATCTTATGAGTAGTGTATAGTGGGATATGGGGGCGCAAATTCGGCCACTTGGAACTAAGGGGCTTGAGGGGATGGAGAAACGAAGAAGCTGCTCAGAACCATGTCAAAGCGATAATGGCTTTGCAAGGCAGCCATAGCTTTTTTCATCTATGCTGCTGTTGTGTATTGACTGTACAAAAAATTCAAGGTGATGTTTAGATCCTTATTTATCACTGATAGATATTACTGGCATGTTCTAATTCTAAAATTGGAACCCTGTTCTACAACATAGAGAGCAGACTTTGTATAGCACCTAGCATGATGGAGGTCGGGCCACTTAGTTGTCTTTCTTCTGTCGAATGCAAGGAAGAGTTGATATTTTTCACCGAATGTATGCGATTGAAGCGTTCAATTAAATTTCGGTGAATGTCAATAATCTCTTTCTTGCTGAGGCCGTCGTGCTTTGTTGCTTACTTGCTCATAAGCAATGAATTGGCTGTCTTAATGCATGGTGCTTCCCTATTCTTCTAGTTCATGACAACCTGTACTGATTTTTGAACCTGCATCAACATCCTTCCCGTTCCTCCTTAACTGCCTATGGAGGTCCGAGATCGGATTTCGGGTGCTTTCAGAGGAATCATGTGTTGACTATACTTGGTGGATATTTATCCTGATTGATTTACTGCATTCTCACAACGATTATCGTTGTGGTGCCGACATTTTCTCTAAATTTGATTATATGTTCATGTTTCTGATTCCGCTGATGAAAACGTAGTTTTCGTGGGTTGAAGGTTAGAATACAGTCCTTGTAATGCTGTTAGATCCCTTATTCTCTTCGGTAATCTAGTACTTCTTGGATTAAAAGTTTGTACATCCTCCAGTCAACTGAACTGTTTCCGATTTCACGACAATATCAGTTAATATGGTCACTGTTCTTTGTTCCCAACCGCGTTCATAGTCTTAGTCAACAACATCAGTAGCTTGCTGTCGTAATGAAATCCCGTCACATTAGGATGTACAACAGTAACTTAGAGTATTGATATGACATTCTGTCACACTTGTTTCTGATCGTCGCTCTAAGACTTCTAATAGAAGTAAAAATTTTCCTGTCATCAGATATACATGCTCATGATTTATGTTGAGATCTGTTTCGTATCGTAAAATTTGTGTTTGCAGCTTCACATTGTCGTTGTTTCATCTAGTAGTTTTGATACTCTTCGTAAACACTCCTTTCTCTCTTTGATGTGCTGCACTGTGGTATCCCTTTCACAGTATATACTCTAGTAGGCCGAAGGCGGGTCGTGGGGTTGAGTTTTACGGAATTACCTCATCCTAGAACGCAGATAGAGGAGATACGAGACGAGATTATCAATGTACCTTCTGTATTGTTTTGATCTGAAGTATGACTTTACCCTAGGAGAGATGGTGTCATGTTGTTGTCAGTAACTTGAGCTAAAATTTGTGGGATATTGGTGGTCTTCCCCTTTTCAAATATCTTGATAGACGTCATTTATAGTCAGTACGCTGATCTCCAAAAATTCGTTATTTATCATTTTCTTGGGTTAATCTACTCTGAGTGGCTGGTAGGACGTATTCAGGTTCACGAAGTCAAGCTCACATTACTCTTTATGTGTGGATGCTTCGCAGAATGTGGGAAAAGCTAATGTCTTTGTAAAGTACCTCAACGCTCATCCAGCTGTGGGTATTTCACCCACACCCCATTTCCATTTTGTTGAGCGACCAAATAGCTGAAGGCACACCTTGTCTAAGCTTTTGATTTGAATCCAGCATGGAAGGCCGGTGAAATCTGTTGATACAAAGATGCAGGATAATTGTTTTCACGGATCTGCTGGCACATCCTGTAGTGAAGAAAAGCGTTAAAGAGCTCTTTGTTTTACAATTTACGTCACTCGATGTCCTCTAGCCTACTTGGCCAATCTGTGATCTGTCTGGACTCTTCCTGAGAAAAGGTGGTTATAATATATGGAGAAGTTTGTTTCAAATAAGACACATGGTTACAATAACGTCATTACCTGCAGTAAAAGACCTGGTCCATTTTGTAGTTGTGAGAATGTCTGGGACGTTCAAGCTCCTGCTGCCTTGTGTCTTCTTGTAAACAGAGGATCACGGTGTGTACAGAAACGTTTGATCCTGAATATCTGAATCTCATATTCTCAGGATGTCTTTGTGAATGATGCGTGTCTATGACGACATTACCGTTATCCGATTTCGTCGTATTTCAAGCATGCAGACACGGTGGCCAGTCATGCCTGCATTTGTAGCAGCGTTCACGGAGTTTACTTCGCATATTTTCGGTCATAATTCCACCTTGCATGATTCGGTTGGTTCATCATCGGTCACGTGTTGGCAAAATTATGTATGAAATATCTTCAGCTTCACGTAAGTTGTTCATATGATTTTAGATGCTCTAGAATATTTCTATTGCCAATATGCGCACCAGTTTCCCATTTTTGTGGAATGCAGCATACTCCACAAAATTGTTGCCATGTGCTCATCTTCTGTAGAATTACATCATTTTACAATTTCTGTAAGATACATTCTCAATTTTCACCATGACGCTAGATTCAATCAATTCGAACAACCTTAGGGACTGCCTGATTTGTCCGTTGTTACTCTGTGAGTCACATTCCATCCGTGCAGCATTGTAAACGAGAATAAGATCACGAAGGAGATTTGCAACCGTTGTGTCACTGTGGTGCTCTTTCCGCCTGCTTTTCTCACCTTATTTTGCCAAAATAGTGAGACCTAAAGCACTGCTGCGATAAGTTTGGTTGAGCTTCGCCTTTAGGCCGTCTATGGTGTTGACTTCCGTGAACACTATACATGGCCTGAAGATAATTCCTGAACTTGTGCTACTACTTAGTCCGCTGCTAGCAAATCACAAGAATCCAATAGAATTCAATGTGTCAATGGTAGAGTGAAAATAATTGGGAAGTTATGACTGTCAGATCCTTCCTTTCTGTCTGACTGTTGAAAACTGCAGCGGAGAGCGTATATAGCGAAATAGCAGAGGAGATTGTACAGTAGCATGGTATGAATCATATGGTAGTAGCGGATCTAGTGGTAAGGAGACAACTAACTAACAGAATATGATATCCGCATAAACTGATACATCTGCATGCAATCTGCAAGCGGTATATATCTCCCATATGTATGAAATGGTAGTGGGCGGTGACTAAGTACTTTCCCTCTGAAAGTTTCATCTGAAATTAATCTTCTAGTCTTTTCAGTTTATTTCCCTAAAGTAACAAGAAAATACTTGAAAACAACATCAAACTAAAAAACAAATTAAAAAAGAAATCAAATGATTGCTGCAACGAAAAGAAAAATGTTCAGTGGTTTCCTGTGGTTGTCAACATTACCGTCTTCGAAGTTGGATCTTGTCATGTGAAACGTCCAGTTGATAGATATTGTTGACTAAAATAATGTCAGTGCTAATACTCATTTTCCAGATACAAGCATCCATCAGAGTGTGAGAGGTCGTTTGTTTCGGTTTGTACATCAGATCATTCGTTCTTGTCAGGTCATTTTGAATGGACAAAGGATACACACTGATATATCCAAAACTAATGGGAAGACCCGAACAACCTAAAATGCTCATGAAATCTTAACAGTAAGCAATGAAGAGAGGGTTGTACTCACAACCGAAGGGGCTAGCCTCATGTCATTTAAAAAATAAACTGCTAATATAACCATCACTTCAAGTATCAAAAAAAATACTTGTATGTTGTTAATAACTCAAGTTAACTTTCCCTAATTAGCATTAGACCTAGAGTTTCTTGCTACGATTTTTTTTTATTTTATATATATATATATATATGGTAAATGGTAAATAGATCAAGACCGTGGGATCCAAAGGCTTAAAAACACAATACAAACTCCAAACTAGGAGAGAATCAAAAGAACCCCCTAGTTAGTGCCCAAAGCACTAGAAAAAAAACTAATCACATCCCTCATAAAACAACCTAAAGCATAAGTTTCAAGCTGCAATAAAGAATAAAAATTCTCAACAACCTTATGAGCCACTCTAATCTCAATATATCTGGTACAAGCAACAAACATATGCTCTTCATCCTCAACTTTACTTCCATCACAAATACGTTCACTCATATCAATATTCAACCAACGCTCTTCCTCAATCCCAAGACTATGAGATACTGTTCTATGCCGAGTAATAATATGACGTAAAATTGTAGAGATCTCCGCAAGTAAGTATTCTTGCTCACAATGAACAAGCATAAGATTCACATGAAGTTGATACAACTCCATTTTAGTGCCTTGTCCGCTCCAAATAATGATGAGAAATTTCTTTTTGATACGCTCGCGAAAGGCATAGGTTGCAAAGCCCAATCGAGTTCTTTCACATTTCACCTCAAAGACCAAATCATCACATCTGCAAACCATCCCTTGGGAGGTGACACATAAAGCTTCAAGAGGAAGTCGAGAAGTATCAAAAGATCTCACTCTTTTGACTTAAGTGATAGTCAAGAAGAGAGCTTCAACCTCAAGAGATACACAACATGTTTCCCCAAGATGAATAACATATGAAGTTTGGTTCCTCTCACCCAATTTTTCTTGTAAGAAGATCTTTACCACCCACTCCAAACGTTGCCAACCTGTCTTCTTACAATCAGGACCCCACATTTGTGTTCCATATAAGATAACTAGAAACACTAAGCTCATGAATAAGAATTTTCTAAGACTCCAAGACACTAGATTAGCTCCTATACATCTATTTAGCAATGAATATAGAGCTTTGAAACTAGCTTCTACTCTCTTTTGCACACAAAGTGTTCAACTATAACTATAGGAGAAATCAATGTCTAGATATGTGTAAGTCTTCACTTGTTTCAACTCTAATACTTTGTAAAAGAAAGAAAGCTTGGATCTAGTGCCCACAAGAATGACAATTGACTTCTACAAATTGGACTCCATCTGATTTTGAGTACAAAAGCTAGCCAAAGTGTCAAGGTGTTTTTGTAAACGAATCACGTGCTAGTAATATGACATCATCTGCATACAAAAGAGCTTTGATGACAAAGACTCCAAGTTTGACACCTTCAATTTCACAATCTTCCAACCACCTTTCTATATCATCTATGAAAACTCCAAAGAGAATAGGAGAGAGAATACAATCATGAATGACTCCAATGGAACTCAAAATCTCTTCGGTTTGAGAAGTGTTGATCTTGACCCGAACGGAGTGATATAATGTGGCCACTGCTGCTAAGAGATGTGATGGTACTCCAATAATTTGCAATCTTTTTCATAAAAGCTCACGAAATACTGTGTGAAAAGCTTTATTGAAATCAATGAAGTCACAAAACAAAACTTTTCCATTATCCTTGGATTTCTTTCATAAAACACGCAAATATATATTTTTATAAAAAATATATAATTAAAATAGAGCTGTATGCAACTAAAATTGCAAACCAAAATATGGTCTTTGGTGTTGAATGTAGGACAAAAACCAGCTTGGATACTCACTCTCTTCTCACAAGATCTAGCCCATGTGCTCAACTTTGACTCCATCAAATTTCCAAATAACTTGGAAAAAATACTACTCACCATGATAGTAGTATAGTTTGCCACCAAGTCTTTGCTTTCAAAAATGTGAATAGTAACAATCTTTTGTAGATTTCAAGTTGAAGTTGAAGTAGTTTATATCTGAGGAGATTTTGTCTTCATTTCACATTCACGGAATATGTTCATTGGCTCCATAGGTGTGGTATTCAAACCCTTCACTTTGCAATAATTTAGCCTCTGAAGGTTATTGTTTTACAAATTCAAAGATAATTTTACACCTTAGATAGTTACTAAGTTCTTGTAGATGTGATGGCATGGTAAATGGTAAATGGTAATAGATCAAGCCCGGTGGACCCAAAAGGTCAAAAGGCTGAAAAACACAATACAAGCGACAACCACAAACAAGGAAAAAGACCCCAAAATCCAATCCCTAGCTAGTGCCAAGAGCACTATAACGATAACTAATAATGTACCTAATATAACAACCTAAATCAAAAGGAACTAACTGTAACAAAGAATAAAAATTCTCTACATCTATATTATGAGTCACTCTAATCTCTGCATATCTAGTACAAGTAAGAAATACATGCTCTTCATCCTCAACTTCTCTTCCATCACATAGCCTACAAATACGTTCACTCCTATCAATATTAAGCCAACGTCCTTCCTCAATTTCAAGCCTATGAGATCCAGTTCTATGCCTAGCAATAATATGACGTAAGGACGTGGAGATTCCTACAAGTAGGAAATCCCGTTCACAATAAACAAGCATAGGATTCACATGAAGTTGATAAAATTGCATCTTGGTGCCGCGCTTGCTCCATATAATGTTCAAAAACTACTCCTTTAGACGTTAACGTAGTGCTATAGGTTGTAGGTCTCAATCGCGTTCCGTCACATTCCACCTTAAAGACCAAGTTATCACATCCGCTAACCATCCTTTGGCACGTGTGGCACTCAAAGCTTGAGGAGTAAGGCGAGAAGCATCAAAAGATCTCATCATTTTGACGTAAGTGATGGTCAAGTATAGAGCTTCAGCCTCTAGAGGTAAACAACCTGTTTCCGCAAGAAGAATAGCATATGAGTTTTGGTTTCTCACACCCAATTCTTCTTGTAGAAATATCTTCTGCACCCTCCCCACACGCTCCCAACCTGTTTTCTTACAATCAGGAATCCACACTTGGGTTCCATACAATACTACCGGCAACACTAAGCTTCTGAATAAAATTTCCTAAGACTCCAAGACACAAGATGAGCCCTTCTACACCGATTTAGCAATGAATATAGAGCTTTGTAACCACCTTCTACTCTCTTTTGCACACAAAGTGCCCAACTTTAATCATTAGAAAAATCAATGCATAGATATTTATAACTCTTCACCTCTTCTAATTGTAGATCCTGGTAATAGAAGGAAAACTTGGATCTAGTGCCCACTATCATGACTTTGGACTTCTCTATATTTACATCCATTTGATTTTGGGTACAAAAGCTAGCCAAAGTGTATAGGTGTTTCTGTAAACTAATTGCAACACGTGCTAGTAATATGATATCATCTGCATACAAGAGAGCTTTGATAACAAAGTTTCCAA